GGCAAAGTCTTCGAAGCCCTAATCAGTACCGAAGTGGTTAACCACCTTACATCCCATGATCTGCTCTCAGACAAGCAATATGGCTTCCGCTTTGCCCGATCTACAGCCGATGTGCTTACAGCCATCACTGAAACTGTCTACCAAGCTCTTCAAAATAACGGGGAAGCTCGTGCCGTGGCCCTAGACATCTCCAAAGCATTTGATAGGGTTTGGCATGCCAGCCTTCTTCGCAATCTCCATGGTTATGGCATTACGGGTCGATTGTTTGACCTAATACAATCATTCCTGTCAAACCGTGAACTGAAGGTCGTTCTCAATGGATTCTCCTCCAGTTCCTATCCCACGAACGCAGGTGTTCCTAAAGGCTCCATTCTAGGCCCCACTCTATTCCTTATCTACATAAATGACGTTCCTGGCGCCATAAATTCCCAAGTTGGCATCTACGCGGATGACACCACAATTTACTCCTGCCTCAAAAACAAATCTAGTGTCACTGACAAAACTAACCTGGCCGTGCGTCTCGAAAAGGACCTCCAATCGGTTGTGAACTGGGGCAGGAATTGGCTGGTCACACAGACGCGCCGTCGCCTCCCTCTGTTTTTTTTACAAATACTTTCATGGCAATTGCTCCGAAGAGCTGCATTCGCTGGTTTCCCAGACTCCATGAATTCAAGCGCCCTACGAGGCTGGCATCACGCTCTCACTCTTTCACTGTCAAAACTACTAAATGTAGCCGTCTCTTCTACTCCAATAGCTTCATGTCTCGCACCTCCCGCCTGTGGAACTCTCTTCCCTCATTCTAATTTCCCTGAGAGCTATAATCTCCAGCTATTCAAATGTAATGTCAATCGACATCTCCAGTTGCCTTGATCTATCCACTATCCTTCTCATCTTTTCCTCTATCACTCCTATCTGATCTTGCTCCAAATTTTCTGTAACCCCTTGCGTCCTAATGGCTTCTCGCCTTGCTTGGGGTGAAACGCTTAAAAAAAAATCTTCTCATAGATTTTCGAAGATCTTCAAAGATCCATTACAATCTGCAGGAACTGCGATATCAGAAAGAAAGCACATTCTGTTTATTTGTGATCTTTGATCACGATGTCTCAGGCGATTAGCTTGGATTAACTTTGTGTTCATTGTAAAGTTTCATGAAATTGTTACAGGTCCTATGTCCGTAACCGGGTTTGGGTGGTGTTCATACCAATTTCTGCAAGTTTCATTCCTATAAAAGTCACAGATTTTCCAGTGCAGATATTGACCTAACCTGTCATACCATATTTTACATTCTGTGGACGCTAATATCGTGTCGCCTTATACAAGATTGTCATTTTTTCTGGATTCTCATAACAAAAGCTGCCTTTCAGGTGAACATGAATATTCAGTTTGTTTACATGGTAATTTCTAGTTAGCAAGAATTGGTCTTAGGCAGCAAGAATAACATCTTTGGTTTCAGTTTTTAACCTTGCACTAAGCAACCACTAATGGGGTTTAGGGTTTGTCTACATCAGCTTCTTTGACACGGGCTGAATATTGGCCATGAAGAATTTTATCTTGCCACCGTTTATGTATTTGTTCTATTGAATGTTTCCTTTTTTTTACGTTCTTCGCCATGGAATAGGTTTATTTGCTCTTCTTCATTCTCTTGAAATTCCTTTTTCAATTTGTTGGCCTCTTTTATTATCGAATAAAGTTTCTTATTCCTTTCACGTTCTTTGACACAGATCATCATCCAATCGTCAGTATTTTCTAGGTATCTTTGAAAACTGATTGTTGTAGTTTCGCAAGAGAGTTCTAGTTGAACTAATCCTCTAATAATAAGAACAATTATTATTATTATTATTATGTTTTATGTTTTGCCTTTGCTTTGTGCACTGCGAGATACTCCCAAGTCTCAACCAGAATCATCAAGAGAAAACAAGTTCTTTAGATGCAAACACATGAATTGACACGTAGTCAGAAATAAATTTTTAAAAAAAAGCATGTAATTGTGGTCACTATATAGAAAGAAATCGATGCAAGATATGAGAAACACCCATGAATATAAGTTTTTGTAATTCATATATCTTAGGACAAAACCGACGCGTACTACCCCCAGCCCCGCGACTGGGAGACGGGGTCTTGTTTAGAGGCCTAGGGCAGTTGTTTGATGACTCATTATCTTATCAACATTTGCTATTTTTCTACCTATATTTACATACGTTACAAATGAAACAATTGATTATTAAAGAATAAAAATATTTTCGCGCTTTTTTTATGTCCTTCTGGGGTCTTTTTTTTTTTCGTCCAAATCAATGAATTTGTTTTACTCAGACTAAATCTCGTAAAAACAATGTATAAAATTCACTATTTTTGCCCATAATGTTAAATGTATTAAATTATTGATTTATTTAACAAGAAAAATTTCAATTGATTTTAAAAATGTCCACAAAACATTGTTAATTTATTTAAGAAAAAATGATCTATTATGACATGTCTCTAATTTGTATTTAGATACATTGTATTTTATTTTCAATTTTTCTAGTTGAATTATCCCCCTATATTGCATCTGATCCATTATTGGACATAATTAGGTTACAATAAAATTTGTATTTTATAAGAATACTACCTTATTAAAATTAAGATGTATTAGAGGGGGGGGATCCTTATCATAGATTCAGGTTTGCACGGGACTCTTACACCGTCCTTGTCTTAGGGCTTCCAAGAATTTGATCCACATATTTGTTTGCACCTTTTGATATCATTCCCAAAGCACCCGTCAGTAACAACAGTTAGTGTTGTTGTCTTGAGCGGCCACATTCAAATGATTTTTATTTCATTGTCTTTGTATTTACCTAGTTTCTGAAATGTTTTCTTCTTATTACTATTATTATTATTATTATTATTATCGTTGTTTTTGGTTCTCGGTAAGTTAACACTTGCGTTATACAGTGTAAGAATGTGCTTGTCCCCTGTCCACAAATTAACGGTAAGTATTTACCCGTTACAATTTTGTTTACTTCCGGCTAGCTTCATTTGTGGGTGGGTACGTCTAAACTCTTTATACGTGTTGCTCCATATAGAAGTATACAATCTAAGTGTGGGGTTATGAGTAACCAGTTATTTCACGCCCTGCCATTACCTCAGATTAAAAAAAAATGAACCATTCCGTTTTCATTAAGAGGAAAAAAGGACGTAAAAAGATATATTAGAGGCGCCGTTTGGGTTTAATCAGAAAGAAAGAAAGAAAGAAAGAAAGAAAGAAAGAAAGAAAAGGTGGGCGGTGATAATGATCTCATGCGTTTAACGTCTGCTTCAGTGAAATGTAAATCTCGTTTTGAATCTTTTCATTTGTATTCTCTTACTTCTTTCAATAATAACTTGTAGGATAAATCATTGTGAAAAAAATGCCTCTTAATAATACAATTATAGACACTACTACTACTAATAATAATAATTAGGAAGATACAATTATAGATACTACTACTACTACAACTAATAATAATTAGGAAGGCCGTAATTAGAGAGTATATCGAATGAACCGAAGACAAGGTAGCGAAAAAAAAGCAGTTTATTAAATACTTATACATGGAACGGACGTGGTGTAATGGTTAGCAAGTTTGTCCCACTAGTTCAATTACGACTGAATAGTGAGTTCGATCCTCATTGGGTGCTCCATAATTTCGGCCTTGTGCCACATCTAAACTACGCTTAATAAATCAACAGGGCATTTCGACATGGTGTAATGGCTAGCAAGCTTGTTTCGCTAGAACAATTACGACTGAATAGTGAGTTCGATCCTCAATAGGGGCCCCATACTTTCGGCCTTGTGCCACATCTAAGCTACGCTTGGAAAATCCCCATAGAAAGGAAAAACTTGAGTGAATCAAATACTCCTCAAATCCTACTCTAATATAGCTACTTGCCATATTTATAAGTAGGAACAGTCCATTGTCACAGTAGTAGGGAAGAGCAGGAAACATGCCGAGTCCTAGTCTACAACAGTCTTTCTCCCAAGGTCTATTTCGCCATCCATTTACTCAAGCTCACTAAGTTAGTTATGCATTGTCTTCCACTGTCCCACTTACATTCAATCTGTTCTGTGAGTATCAGATTTTCCCAGCCCACTTTCCTCGCTATGTGAAACTGTTCCTTCCTGATGTTAAGTATGAGTTTAATTTTTCTTCCAGGGTATCCTCAGCATGCTTCTGTAGAACCACATTTCTCTTGCTTCAAGTCTCTTCTTCATCTTTGGGAAGATTGTCCAGCATTCACTGCCATCTTAGGAGGACATATATCCCATAATATTTCAGTACTTTTTTCTTTGTTTTAAAACGAAGATTTTCAGTTTCTCAGTAACTCTGCTGAGATCATTCGGAAAGGCCCAAAGAGCAACGGGTAAAGCCGTTGTCTTGAGATGCCGCACTCATTTGGCTTCTATCTCGAGGTCCTTGTACCTACTTAGTTTATTTTATCTAACTTTCTTTCTTTTTTTGCCGGCCTTAAGCTCCACCATGTATTTTCAACATGATTTTTCACAATTTGTCTGGATGATGATTATTATTATTTGACCTGCAGCCTTCCCCTGTCCCTTTTGCTTTCAATATGTCCTATGAGTGACAGATTCGCCAAGCCCTCTTTTCTCATTACATGTTTCCAGGAAATGTCAACTGCCTCTTTCTGATTCCGGGTGTCAGCGTTCTAATTATTTCCATTTTCATTATGACTTTCTCCTTTTGCTTTGCCATGGCATTTTCAGCTTCTTTTTGTAGAGCTACGACATTTCTGATTCCTCTAGACTTCTCGTCATCAGTAAGGAAACATTCACTTCTATATAGGAGAGAATTCCGTAATCTTTTCATTGTTTCTTGCGATAGCTTCCTGTCTCTCAATACTTGGCTTAGTTTTTGGAAAGCATTTTTACTATTTCAAAGCGACATCAGATTTCGATGTCACGTTTTCTATTTAAATGTACACCAATTTATTATTATTATTATTATTATTGGATGCTCACACCACTCAGCTTACGGCCACATTAAGTTGAAACATCAGTTCCCGCACGATCAGCGAAGTTAAGCAACGTCGAAACTGGTCGGTACTTAGGTGGGTGACCGCACTGGAATAGCAGGTGCTGTAAGATTGGATGTTCGGATGGTGTAATGGATAATGGCTCGGAATTGTTAATCGGAGAACCGTGTTCCAATTCAAGTTGGGTTCACTTACGCGCAAATACCCCTGGGAAATGGATGAATCCACCTCTTCTCCCCATCCTATGGGCTAATTAGTAAGACTTGTATCACTAAAACCATTATTATCTCAAAAAATAAAAATAAAATTGCGTACTAAATATTTAGATTTTGGCATCAAATAACCCATAGAGGTGTTGATATGCCGCTAAACAAAACCAAACAACCAGAAACGCACACAAGTCGTAAATTATGACGAAGTCTTCATAATACAATATTCTGTTTTCAATTATCTTGTCTTCTGGATGATCCCGACTCTTCCAGTTCCGTCAGCCCTTTCTTTAAGCTCTTCGGAACCGTTCCTAGTATTCCGACAACGACTAGCACTACTGTCATCTTCATATTGCTCATTTTCCTTAGCTTCTTCAGTATGGGTCGAGACATTTATCCATCTTTTGTTTCCTCCCTGTTGTTTACCAATACTAGATCCTATCATATGGCCTAGTTTGGGCGATCACTTTGAATTACTATTATTATTATTATTATTATTGGCCTTATTTATTCCTTTCTTCTGGAACATTCTGTTTTTCTTCCTGTCCTTCCTCCTCCTTCTCCTCTTCGTGTTCTTTCGTCCGAACCGATTGTCCTCCACGCCGTACATTAACCCGGTCTCTCCTAATCTTGAAAATTCTTCCCTGTCTTCAAAAGAGATTTGTCAGAGTGAACCAATTCCCCAGTGATTTTGGTTTCTTGCAAGCAAATTCCCTCAAAATTCTTCATCACTTGTCGACACCCTCACCCGCCCAACGGCTGGAAAATGACTCGTCGCCATATTTAAGCGCCATCTGCCGACGTCTCTGCTTTTCTTTTTTTCTTTTTTCTTTTTTTCACTTGCCCGCCACTGTCTCTTTATTTCTCTTTATATAACTATCTACCTCACACTATATCTCTCTCTACTCCTTTTCTCTCTCTCTCTCTTGCTTTCTCTCTTTCTCTACCCCTTCTCTCTCACACTCTCCCTACTCCTTCTCTTTTGCACACTCTCTTTCTCTCACTCTCTACAGCTCTATCGCCCTCTCTCTCTCTACTACATCTCTCTCTATCTCTTTCGCTCTCTTTCTGTCTCTCACTCATCATCCTTTTTCAAACTATTTCTACTTCTCTCTGTAATATTTGATAGATAGATAGATAGATAGATAGATAGATATGAACCGACTGAGATAAACAGAAAGAAGACTGAGATAGATAGATAGATAGATAGATAGATAGATAGATAGATATGAACCGACTGAGATAAACAGAAAGAAGACTGAGATAGATAGATAGATAGATAGATAGATAGATAGATAGATAGATAGATAGATGATGTTTGTATATAAATGCATATATGTGTGTATGTGTAATTTTTATATATATCATTTATAAACTATATATGCGCAGTACTTATTGAAAAGCGCTCAATATCAGTGATAGAGCTAACATTTAGTTGCAGTGATGTGAGTTTGTGACCCTGGGTTTCAACCAGGGTCACAAACTGACATCAAGGCAAAATATATATATATATATATATATATATATATATTTGCCTTGATGTCAGTTTGATATATATATATATATATATATATATTACTTCAAATTTTATTATAGTGAACACTTCTTATTTTAAACAGACGCCTCATTTTTATTTATCAAACAATTCCTATTATGTCTATTGGCCTGCGTTTGAAGAATTCTAAATAAACAAAATGTGTCCTCTGGAAAAGATGAAACCTACGCCAGCCTTTGTAGATTTGTTTATACGTTGTTTAAAATATTTTTTTTTATCAGTAGGTTAAAGAATTATTGATTATGTACTTAAACATTTTTTGATCATTTCACGCCAAGCAAGGCAATACAGCCACTAAGACGCAAAGTGTTGTTGAGTGTGAGAGAATATAAGAAAAAGAAAACATTATTAAGGTGAGAGGACAATAAAAGAACAGGGAGGACGAAGACAGATGTTTAAGGAGGAAAAAAAGTGAAACTAATTTTAAGTGTTCATCGGCTATGGCAATGCAAATCAGCTGGAAGGTGGCTAAGACTAAAGCATAATGCGGACACAGGGTTGCCCACTGGAAGAACACCTATCCATGCGCAACATGACAATGCAAATATACCGATATTATGCCACTGTTGACCAGAGATGACCCTGTAAGCGCAGCCAAAGAGTCCGATCTCTTTACTACAAGTTGGAATGCAGCAACCAGAAAACTATTAAAAACCTGCTACCCTCGAAGGCACTGATGAGTTAAATCTTTAATGCCATGGAATAAAAAGGAACCGGTAAACCCCATCCTTAACAGGAAAAAATGCATAACACTCTACTCCATTACAATAAACCTAGAAGGAGTACGAACCGGGCGATAGGCTAACCTATCTGCTCCTAGTAACTTGCTCACAGCACAGGAAGCTTGAACGCTTTCATCGAGACACCATCTCTAGGAAGATGAGTAAAGACAAAAGGAAAACCTTTTTATGCCAACACGTGTCGTTCCTTGAGGAAGTTTGTCAAGGCGAACCTATTTACGTCATAGAATAAACACAGATATATAAATTTTAAATCACAAAGGTAAAAGAAAAAATATAGTCGACACAAAATGTTAACCGTTTATATAAATATTCCTTATTACCAAAATCTCCGAGTTTCTGTCTATCGTTTTCATTTTCAGAAAATCCTAAAAGCTCTTCATTTTCACCATCATCTCGGGATTTGTTTCTCGTAGACTTCCGAGACTTGGCATCTCGACTTCAGTCACTTTCCCACCGCCATGACGTGGCTTCCCCGGGTCTTCTCTATAAATATTTTTTTATAGCAACTGTTCTAATGTGCTCTCCTTCTTAAATCATTTTGTAAATAAACACTGGAGTTTAAATTTTTAAATTATTGTTTTATTCCTCCTCCGCCCCACAGACGAGAATTGTACATAATTGAGACTAGTTAGAATTTCATGGAGACTCTGAGGTATTATGGTGGCTGTAGTAAGAATGCGTTGTTTTGGGGTAAGGAATCTTGTGATATGTTTAGTTCAGTAATTATGGCTAGCTAAGTTTAATTATAAGACAGAAGATCATCCTGTTTTCCCCATCCACTCTTTTGTCCTTATGCCACATATTTGTTATGTCATTACCAAAAAAAATATCCATCTTCAAGTCAACTTAGCAAGGGGATCTATGTTCATTGGCCCCTTTTATTTTTGCCTCCACTTTCTTTAGTTTTAACCACCCAACTCCGTTTTGTGACCAGAGATGTCAGTTCTCTGGTGGATGCGGGACGCCTTTCATATTTCGAATATGATTTTCGTGTTTGTTTTTGTGTTTAAATGAGTCTATGTTTCAGTGAGTGTTTGGACGAATAACGGTTTTATATTATTAAAGTCCCGCGTTCATTTCGTCCAGTTAACTGGTGTTGCTACCACAATTAACGTTTCGTGGGATATTAGTAACACTATTTTATTTAGTTTCTTGTAAATAGTTTTTTACAATAAAAAAAAAAAGTTTGAACAAAGTAACTATAGCGAAGAAAACGGCGACTTACCTCGTCAAACCAAGCAGCAGCGCGTCGCGTGTATTCTACGACGGAACAAGTGTCAAAAAAGAAAATTGCTTACCAAACAAAAAGGCACGTATTCCGCATAACATGCTGAAAATGGAATATTTGAATTAAAAAACAAGTCCGTCGCAGGAGTCGCTATAAAAGTATTTTGATATGGAAATTACTGAACATCCTATCCCAGCTGTCGACGAATAAAAAAAATACGTTCTGCCGATAAAAGCAGTTGGTGTTCGCGATTCGACAGCGGAAAATTCAGGCATTTTTGGCTACGGCGTTTGTTAGATAGTGAGTTATTTTTTCTGACTGGTTACACGCATTGTGATTTGAGATAGTACCAACGAATCGAGTTTTCAGCATTTCTTTCTGCCCCACCCCCGATATTCGAGTCTGTACTTTTAGTGATTTTTCTTTGTGTTGTGGAAGTAATCTGCGACGAATACTTCCTTTGCTTTGAGAACACTTTGTAGCTATAAACAATTTTTTTTGCAATCTTCTGCCAGCCGCAATAATGGAAAAAGCATTACCTCGCACCATCGCCAGTGAGACACACTGCAAGAGCCACTCCGTTTCGCGAGGATCGTCCCTTAATCGAGACGCCATCCTGCCAATCCTCCGAAGGAACGCCATCGAACGTGGGCCAATAACCCCAAAAGTCTCCACTTTAAGGTTTATATTTTGAAATTATTGTTTTATCCCCTCAACAGACAAGAATTGTACATATCGGGACTAGTTAGGACTTTATGGATGTGTATGTAGTCGTGCATGCAGTAACATTCTTAGTTATCATTCTTACTACATGCACTTCTTGCACGAACTAAGAATAGAGACATGAGGCATTACGGTGAATGTAGTAAGAATGGTTTGTAAGAATATGTTGTTTTGGTGTAAGGAATATTGTGGTATGTTTGGATCACTCATTGTGGTCTAGCTAAGTTTAATTATATGACAGAAGACTATTCTTTTTTTTCCTCAATCCACCTTTTGGTCTTGTGCCACATATTTGTATTTATTGCAACATAAATATTGCTCTCTTCCTGGATACTTCGATCGCATAAATTGAAGTTTACTACTAGATTGGCAATTAGGTCACATAGTTTTAGTGTTGGATTATCTAGATGTAACCGTAAGTTCTATTCGGAGAATTTCTTCTTTCGCACTTCTCGCACGTGGAACTCTTTCCCAGTTTCTTACTTCCCCACCACCTACAATCTTCAAATATTTAAACGCAAAGCCAATCGTCATTTTCCCTTTTCCTGAAACCTGTTTCTTTATTTCCCTTCTCTCCTCATTAGTCTTCTCATTCTCTTTCACCCCTTGCGTCTTTGTGGCATCATCGCCTGGTTTAACCAACTGCCACAT